CAAAAAAGATAGTATCTCGTCCTAGTCGGCTAACCTATAATGCCAAACACGGCGGCAACCTGCAGTACGCAACCGCGAAGGTAGCGTGAGTGGGGTGAGGGAGCACCGTACTCCAGATCAGACAATGGTTGGAGGAGCTAAGAGGGGTATCGACGGATACCTGATATCCGCCCGGATGAGATATTAGCAGCAGGTCCGACAGGGAAGGTACATGTTCTTCCACATCTGGGATCCGCGTAGGTGAGGAAACCAGTTGTATCAGACCATATGCCAAAACAAAGGCATAGACAGATTTACCCGATTTATCGGTTAAACGAGAACCAGGCCATTCAGCGTGGTGCGCCAATCATCACGATCTCTGCAAATGTGACCCGTTGTAGCACAGAGTCTGCAGCCATTTGGATGTGTTCGATGAGTCGGTCTGTGTCGGCATTGCCGCTATCTACGCGCAGCCATAAGATGGATAGCTCCGTAACTTTAAGGCTGCCGAGGCGTCGAAAACAAATGTTCTCTCTGACTTACACGCAAATCCCAGGCCGAGGCACAAAGGAGTGTTCTAATTTGTAACCCGGGCAGGATAGATACGAAGTATCAGCCGGAGCACTTGTATCTCGGTTAGAAAGAGCAAGGCCGACTTCGCCGTTTCCAGATGGTAGTGAACGGAGGTAAGATTTGAATAAAGTTCCACGTTTGCCCCGAGCAGGTTTAGTCTCGTGCCAAATTTCTCCCCCCCCCCCTCTGAAAATGCGGGACAGCATAAGCACCCACGCTCAGGAAGAGTAAGGTAGCTTGGGCGTGGATGCTCAGCGAGGGATTCTACGTCACCGGGGTGCTGGTACCCCTCTGGGGTAGTGTTTTGTTTAACTCCGCTACCATGTTTAAGGGGGGAGGGGAAATTGGGCATCCGGCTACCTGCACTCACCAGGCGAAATGCAAAAGCAGAGCTTCTACTTCACTCTGGTATTCTGTGAGGTCGTGGTACCGCCCCGGTGCAAGCCGGCCCATACGTGCAACAGCAAAGTCTGCTGCGTGGCTCTACCACTGTTAATTAAAAATGTGTGCGTTTGAGTGGGTCCCTGGATGGTTCAGATTTACAATACAATATAACAATATAATAAATGAAATATAACCCGGCTATATATGCTTCAAGATTCAGGAATAAAAATTAAAAAAATGTATTTTTTCAGTATACAATAGTAGTGTCAACCTCGCACATTTCATGATAAGAACTGGCATAATATCGTATTTGAAGAAAGAAAAGTGACTACGTTCAAGAGGGAAAAACTATTCGAATTTTATCGTCATGTTTTATCGACCCTACGTAGTATGGCCGGGTACGAGCCATCAGTCGCAGGGCACGTTTTCTATCAGCGAATAAACGGACGCCGAGATTCCATTTCGTAAACGTTTAAGAGTAAGTAAGACCCATCCACCGAAATCTAAAAACAAAAAGTTAACTCATAAATAACTAAGATAGAGGAGTTTTATTTTTTGATTAGAATACTTTCACTTTAATGAAAGAGATATATCACATAATTTATTTTTTTAATAATAAATAAAAAAAATAGCGTTTTTACAATTTGGAAGAATTAGTATATATAATTAAAATACTCTACTGTAAATCCAAGTACATATTTTCTCTTCTTTAGTTTTTGATTATAATTTTATTATTTGCCTAATTCTAATATAACTAACAACTTTATTTGATAACTTTAATTCAATATGAAACTTAAGTTAGGCATGCACAGGCCTATAAAATGTAATAAAAAATGACACCCGAAGAGAGTTGTTCAGTTGTAGGACACGTAATGTTATAAATTAACACAAAATGTTATAAATTAACACAAAATGTTGTAAATTAACACAAAATGTATAACACTTACAATAAATATATTGAATTTGAATGGAAATATAAGAAACCGGTAATAATAAAGAAACCAGTATAAAGTCTAATTTTTTAACTGTCAGTTAAAAGTTTTCTATCAAATAAATTATAAGCTGAGCGATTAAACCATTCAATGAATGGTCTAAGCCTGAGCGAATATAAAAGTGAAACGATTGAACTAATTTTATTCATATAACTGTAATTTTTGATTTTGTTTGTGTTTTATTTTATTCCATAAATAACGTATATCTGATGACTTAAAAATCACCGCTTAGTCGCTGCTTGACAAAGAAATCGTTTTGAGACATATGCTTGTGTATTTCACAGTATGATATTTTAATTTTATTCACAATTATGTTTAACAGTTGCTTTATGATTCTAATTAAACATTTCATCATTTTTGATCATTGTGGCTTTTGTCGTTTATTCTTAGAGTAACGTCAAGAAAACGAGGCAATCCATATTAATCCTCAGGTGTAACAACGTGTCTGGATTTTGATTCTCAATTGAGGATAAATGTAGATGTTTATGGACCACAGCATCCATTTGTACTATCAGTTGAATTTTATGCTCTTTTGTCACCCTTATTCTATAAAAAAAAACCGGGTTCGATCCCCGTCGAAGCAAATGAAATTGTTGATTGTAATATTAAGAACTGATTTACCACGTATTAGGTTGGGAAGAAAAACTCTTTATACACTGTTATCTGTATCTACATTTTATGCTTCAATAACAACAGAGAACTTAGCAGTAACATTTGCAATATTATTAAAGTAGTCATTAATTTGAAATTCATTTTACACTTAATTTAAATAAAACCGTGGTATCTCACTAGGTCAATATGATATCAATGAATTTGTCTATTGTAATATTAAGAACTGATTTAACACGTGCTCTGTTGGGGATATACTCCATTCTCTAATTTTTTATTTTCTTTTATCATTGATATTCATAAAAATATCACTATCAATTAAAATATTAATTTAAAGTTTATTACGATAAGTAGGCAACCTTGGCAGCTCAGTGGTGGCAATTTTAAATTCGCCGGCGACCCAGGTTCGATCATCAATAAGATTGTTAATTGAATTTTCATTGCTGATTTACCACGTGGTCAACGATTAATAAAATAATCGTGAAACTATGTGAAGTACACCAGCACTGAGGTAGCGCAGTTTAGCAATGAATTGCAGCGCCCAAATGCCCTCATTCGAATCCCGCAAGGAATAAGTACCTAATTGTATGAGCATGTAATATAATTTTTTCGGGTCTGGACGTTTGCCCTTGTGCAATTTATGTATGTGAATTGCCTCTACGATACAGGATAAAACTCTAGTGTGGGAGTTATTGTTCTTTTTTTAATAAGAAGAAAAAAAGAAACAACGTAAAATATAAGTTTGAGATAGTAAGCCCCACATTTTAGGTAAATAAATTTTTGAATTAAATAAAACGGTTCCAACTCGTAAATTAAGCCCCGATATCGCACTCAGACGAATAACGTTCTTCCGAACAGCGGCGTGCGTTTATCGCTTTACAACGAATTGTTCTTTTGGTTCCACCTCGTATTGCTTCCCGTCACGGCACGAGCTTTAGAGCCTCCAGACACGACTCGCGGGCCTTCGTTCGTAATAGCCGTCCTGACCTTTTTATAGTCGACATGCAAATTTCTCGAATTATGCCCGCTCGATTAATTTTTCTGGACGTGAACAGAGAAAACGAGCGATTCGAATCGATTTGGTATATTCAAAATATTTTTATACTTAAAGCTGGGAGTAATACATGCTTCTTAATATTTGTAATATTTATAAAATAGACTCACCCCGGCTTCGCCTAGATAAAATCTATTAACGTGGTGTTATTTTGATTTAAGATAGTCGAAGACTTAATTTGAAAAGTTTTCGTTTTTCCAAAAATATCTTCAAGTTTTTTTTTTAATAAAATGTAGCCTAGGTCCATGGCACTACTTCCTAACTGTTCATAATGTTTCATTACAATCGGTCCAGCCATTCTGGTCAGACAGATAAACAGGCAGAAAAAATCTTTTTTTATGTTTATTTTGTCTTAGAAGCCAGCAGTTTCAACATTACAAGACAGAAACTTTAATTTTATTTATACAGGTTTATTTTTCAAAGAGTAGGCAAATTTTAAGCTTATGGGGATATAGTAAGTCAGCTCAAATTCTAATTTCGCCCCCCCCACTTGCCCGCGCATCGTATGCTATGTACCGACATGTTTGTAATCACTAATACTGTAAGTAGATAGATCGTGAGATACTTATTTGATTAGGTTTATCGTATTTATGCCTGTTTCTTAACGCCAACCAAGTCGCTTCTTATTTTTATCACGGTTATTTCCCATTTTAATTTTACGTCATCCTGTTGCGTAATGTGTATTCTAATCGTAAGCGACACAACTTCTCCCTTCAAAAGCCTAAGCGATACTAACCATAGATTACTGTGTAAAGCTGTAACAAACCGTATGTATTCGGTACTGAGTAACGGGTGCGCCATCTAGTACCGAGTAACGAAACGTTACACATGAATGTCTTTCGTTACTCGCATTTTTCGTACTATGGGTACCTACACTGTTACAGTTCACGCAAGTACCGATGATACGTGATGCGTGTATGGTAACATTTGCTGATCGTATGTTTTACGCATGCGCACACTTATTCGGTGAATTTAAAAACGTACGTTACAAAGAGCGATGTTTGTTTATTAGGTAAAGTAAACTTAGCGGCACTTAGCGTCGGTTTGTTTATGTTTGGGCCACATTCCGTGCCGCTAAGTATAATTTGGAAATACGTCGTCCAAGTTTTTTACTGCTTATTGAAGGTATTGTGCGTGTAAACGAAGTTTTAGATTGGAACAGAAAGAAGGTAAGAAAGTATTTTTTACAAATTAGAAATATGTATGTTTTTGTTTTTTATTATCTCGTATTTTCAAGTTTTTTTTTGTTCTTATCTTAAAAGAGATATTATAAATAAAGCCGCTCTAATGGGTTTTAATTGTTTCTTGGTTTACAAAAGCTGTTAATTATCAAATATTGTTAATTGTGTATATTCGATTTATAATTATTTACACTTAATTTTTTTTTTCAGTTTAATTTACCTGCTACAATGGATAAGAAAAGAAGTAAACTATGGGGTTTTTTTACGCAGACTAAAGACGATAAGGCAAAATGTGATCTTTGTCATTCGTTGTATTCAGTGAAAGGCGGCTCTACTACAAATTTGAAAAAGCATCTCATGAAGAAACACAGATCATCTTATGAAATCATCATTCCATGCTCTATGTCAGATGAAGCAGTTCTGGAAGCTCCTATACCATCAACTTCAGCAAGTACAGAATCTACTAATCCTGTAATTAAAAAAAGTGAAACCATTTCGCAGCAGACTAAGTTAAGTGCCTTTATTAAACGTCCAGTAGGTGTAGTAAGAGAAAAAAAAATTAATGATTTAATTTTTAAAATGATAGTTAAATACCTTCAGCCTTTTTCTGTAATTGAAGACGCGGGTTTTAAAGATCTTATAAATTACTTAGAACCAGGTTACAAAATGCCTTCAAGGTACATATTAAGCAATACTTTATTGGATGCTCAATACTCAGACGTCCAAAAAAAATTAAAAGAAGAATTGGAGAGCGCAAAATATGTATCGATCACCACCGATGGCTGGACTTCGAGAGCAACAACTTCTTACCAAGCTGTAACAGCCCATTATTTATTAAATTGGGAGTTGAAGTCTGCTTTATTAGGATGTTTTGAATGTCATGAGCGACACACGGCCGAATATATTAAAAATGAGCTGTATAGTTTGCTCTTGCATTGGAGCATACAAAATAAAATATTTGTCTGCGTTACAGATAACGCAGCAAACATGAAGGCGGCTATACGATTAACAACTTATGAACATTTACCGTGTATCGCTCACACTGTTAATTTAGTCGTGCGTGCAGGACTCCAGGACTGCGGACTCGGGGAGCTGATAAAAAAAATAAAAGCCATTGTGGAACATTTCCACAAGAGTTCAATAGCTAATAAAAAACTATTTGCAATGCAGGAGCAGCTGAGGCCTAATCAGAAACCATTGAAGCTAAAAATGGACGTAGTGACCAGATGGAACAGTACCCTGGATATGATTGAGAGGGTTTGTTTACTTCAAGAACCTTTAGAAGCATCTCTTGGAATCCTACACAATCCGGTAGAAAATCTTTCGGAAGGCGAATGGCAGACACTGCCAGAAATAATAAAAATTTTGAAGCCATTCAAGCAACTCACTGAAGAAATGTCTTCAGAAAAAAACGTGACTGTTTCAATGGTCCTGGCTTCGACAGAAAGTATAATTAGAATTTTTCACAGTTTAGATACAAATATTATTACAGATACAGGAAAGAAATTGGCAAATAAAATAATAACGGAATTTAAAAGTAGATTCAAGAATTGTTACAGGCACCCAGTGTTATCTAAAGCAGCACTGTTAGATCCGCGTTTTAAGAAGCTGGCATTTAGGTTTGATGCATCAAGTTATGAGTCTGCCAAAGATGCATTGAAAACTGAACTGCAAAATGAGTTTAACTTTCATAAGCAGTCGATAGAACCTAACGAGAACGAATCGACGTTAGCTATATCTACTGGCGACACTGACGCTGATAACGACTCAATATGGAAAGATTTTGACTCTTTAGCAATGTCAGCGTCTGCTTCGAACTCTATAGTTAGCAGCAGCATAATTACCATGAGGCAATATCTAGAAGAACGCATTATTCCTCGAAATGAGTGTCCTTTAAAATGGTGGCAGGCGCGGGCAATTCTATACCCCGAACTCTCAAACTTGGCTGAGAAATATTTATCGGTGATGGCTACCTCAGTACCATCGGAAAGGACTTTTTCCAAATCGGGCCAAATATTAAGTGAGAGGCGCAGCTCTATTCAACCAAAGCGAATGGAAAAGATTTTATTTTTAAATATGAATCAGAGGTTCCTGCCATAAAATGTTTTTATTTAATTTTTTTTGCCGAAATGTCGCGATAAGCATGTCGCAGATGTTAAATGTTAATAATGCTTGCCCATAACAATTGCAGTACTCTAGGTTTAATTTCATTCTAAGGAAAATATTTTCATTGTTGTTTTAGTTTTGTTTAAAATATTTTTTATTTTATTATTATGTTTAATTTTATTCTAAGAACAAAAAGATTTTTGTTTGTTGTTTGAATTTTGTTTAAAACATGTTTTATTTAATTTTTTATGCTTAATTTAATTCTAAGCAAAACTATTTTTATGTTGTTTTATCGTTTGAATGTTATTTAAATTTTATTGTCAATAAATAATTTTCGACACCTATTTGTTGCTTTTTCATTCATAATAATGGATGGAATAGATTTTCATGCATAATTTTTAAATAGTAAATCCATTGCAAATTTAGTAGATTCCGTCAATAGTTCACTTGTAGTTTTACACTTTACCTATTAAATAAAACTAAATTTAGAATAACTTAAACACAAGTCTGGTTCAAAATACGCCGCGAGGTCATACTGTGCGCGTAGGCAATACGACTCGATTCGATACGATCGAACATAACAGCATGTTGTGAGGTATCAGAAGTAACGAGTAACGTAACGATACGATAGTAACGAGTACTAATTGTTAAAGTAACGAATACATACGGGTATGCTTTTTTTCGTTACTTTTACACCTCTATTACTGTGTAACTAACGGGGCGACAGGAATCAAGCTTCAAGTCGCCGATAGTTTAGGTAATTTCTTTTTATAGTGAAAATAATGGTATTTAAAAAAAAGTAAATAACATAACCACTGCTTTATAGTTAGTTCAGTTAGTATGCAAAGTTTCATGATCTTATTTAAAGTATTTTATGAATAACAGCGGTTTATTGTTCAGTTTGGAGGTAACTTTGGATTATTTTTCTATCGAAAAAATTTTACGGAATCATCTTTTCATCTAAACTAGTCCTTAACATTAATCCTCAACTTTACCATATATTTATTTCAAAATTAATGCTGCAATACTTTCGGTATAACGGAGTATCTTGCTAAGCCATTTGAGGTTATATTTCCCCTTTATTTTCAAATATATAAATGCATAATAATAAACCGTTATTGCGGATTTTGAAAACACCTACGAGTATATAAAGGCTTCTACTTTTATTTGAAATTACCCCAAATTGAATGCGATTTACGGGCAACAATTTTTTTGTCCACCGATCGACCCTCACAAATGTGCGTGCGCAATAAAATCAGTTAAATTAATACATAACCACGCATTTTGAGTATAAAAGAAAAAAAAGATAGAACCACGCATTTTGAGTATAAAAGAAAAAAAAGACAGAATATTTAAGATTTTTTTAATTAATTTTTCTTTACCATTTTCCTACATAACGTATTCTGAATATTCTTTGCAAGTTTGGTCGGTTATTGCAAAATAACCCTGTATGTATAGATATAGATATAATGGCTCGTCTGGTAGTGATCGAGTAATTTCTGAACAACTTGACCGATTGAAATCATTTTCACAAAATATATTCGTTTTGTCGAAACAAATTATCATTACTATGCTAGTATATTATAGGTGGCGCTGTGATCTAGTAATCAATTAATGTTATCGTTTTAACAATGTAAAAACTCCGAAGCGATTTTGTAGTGAAACACGTCGCGTTAGCTAACGCAAAGAAGAAAGTCTCACGGGCCAGTTAGCATAAACGTGTATACAAATTGTTATTCAATTCTAAACCTAGTGTGGGTTGCTAATTACGTAGACAGCCTATCATTTGAAGGGTACCTCAACTATGTACAAATTGGTTGAGTTAAATTTACACTTGGTGCTGCAAAAACTAAACAAATAGGAGACAAAAATTAAGACGTGCGTACCGGCCACAAAGATGCAAAACGTACTGACTCGACAGTATGAAAGTACAGTTGAGAGCGGAGAAAGAGGGCATCACTGCAGTGAGGTACAAACTTATCTAGACCGAGTTGTAAGTGGCGCAAATATGAGTCTCTTAATATTGATTACATATAGACTATCAGTCCATGGGTCCACGTGCGGTGAAGTTTCTAAATGAACTGTATCCGCGACTGGTCTTCGCTGCTGGTGATAAGAGGGCTGGTTCTTTTCTCGCTCAAAGGCTAAGTATAGGCATTCAGCGAGGAAATGTGGCATGGAGCAGCACTGTATGATAATTTAATTTTAGTTTTTTTATAATGGTTTTATAATATATTAAAAAAATTGAAAACAAGTTGAGCTATTAAGGCTTAGTTAAAATTTTAATTTTAAGCTTTGTACAGTTGTGAATATTTTATATTTAGTTAAGTAAATGAATATACAAATCCTCTATATAATTTTAGTTTACTTATAACAATAAAATTTAGTTCTAACTCTAACATGAAATGCTTGAAATAATACCGTTTATTTCGACAACACTGCCAAACTTTACAACCATACGTTTTACGGCTTCGTTGCAATGTTTTCATTTACATCCGGGGGCATTCATTATTTCGGACTTCACAGCATCACATATGATACGTAATAAAATGTGGGTGACATTGTGGAACCTAATTTACATTTAAATTACAGACACCACAGGCAAGTCGTTGAAGAACATGGGAGAGGAATAATCGTTTTACATTCATGCGTATAATAACGTGTTACGCCTAATACATATAATATAACAATGTACCAAACATTATATTCTAATGTTAAAAAAAAGTTACGCTGGATTTCTTGCCGATTCTTATCAGGACAAAGGTCTTTTCTGAACCAGGGGTAAATTTTAACTGACTTACAAAAGTATTCTCAGTGATCGCAAGACTGAAAATGGCAGCGATCACCGAATGGTTAGAGGCACACTGAACCTAAATGGAGAGGTTACGTCTAATGAAGTCAACGCTCCATCCCTCTCGTGCTCTAATCCAAAGTTCTGAAAACTTTCAGTTCGAGTTACAAAATAGAAGACTGTAATGAAGTGGACGATATGAATGACAAGCTAGTGGAAACTGTCCATGCATTTTGTAACACCCGTCACAGAAGTACACAAAAACGTTCCGATCACCCTCTTAATCTGATAGCTGAAATACAGGAGATAAAGCTGCAATCTTCTAAAGAAAAGTGATAATATTCCTTTCTATTATAACATTTGAAGCCAACTACTATTACAATTATTCTATTAAAAGGTTTTGTTTTATTTTTATTGGAACTTTTTGTCTAGAAATAATTCACCCACAAAAGAAAGTTATTTAAATTTGAATTTTGGAAAGAAAGATTGAATAAAGTCATTTTTCTCGTGGTAGAAGCCGTATTATATCATATTATGTATATCATTTTAAAGATAATTCAATGTACATTTTGGAAATACTTAGGTTATTTTTCAGATGACTGGTAAATAAATCAAAAAATAATCTCTAAATTATTATTTTGTTCAGTTATTGGTTTGGATCATCTTTGCTCAACACGATCTAATTTATAAGAAAGATACATAAATAGAACACTACGTACTCGTACATTTCAAGCGCCGCCATAACCATGCTCTATTCATAATAGGAGCACACTACCGCATAAATAGTGCATATAAATCATTTACTACCAACATAATAGTTTTAAGTGCTTTATTATGTCTTGCTGCTATTTACATTTATGTTGTTGTTCTTTTCTCATGTGTCGTGGGGCATTTTATACATACAAAATTGTCTGATTGTTCTGAGTTTTTAGGTTGAAGATAAAATATTTAATTTTTATGTAAGAACAATAAAAGAAATGGATCAATATTCACTCAAAAAACAGTCCATATATATAAAAATGGCCCATAGACATAACATTTAGATTACGCATTGACTAGATTAGGATTAAAATTGTCACCCCTGATGATTAGAAGGAATGTCTCAAGTACCCGTAAAAGATATATTAAGACACTTTTATTTGTCTATAACCGATATTTAAGGAATAAATATTTTCGTGCAGAGAGGAATGAAAATACCTAGTATAGTAAATGATTCAAAGGTTGTAGGCGTCTACCACTGTGTTCATCAACCACTTCCGAGTTCTTTTTTATTTTTATTCAGTACGATGTTGCCAATCCATTACCTTTTTTCCCAATCGTTCAAGCCGTCAAATTAACTTCTTGTTTGTAAAAAAATTCAAATTAAGTTCCCGACATGTAATAAAACAGGGATCTAAAACACAAACGTTACAAATAGCCGTTATTTAACGACGAGCGTGTCCGCAAGCAGTGAGGACGCGCCCTAATTGCGTAGCTCCGACTGCCCCATTCATTAAATAGAAACTCCACAGAAAGCCCATGCAGAGTAAAATATTGCAGGGGTGGAAAGCACATAGTTCTAAATTGGAAGTACCTGTTGGTTAGACTCTAAAAATTGTTATATATTTAAAAATTGGTATTTTTTTAAATGACTAATGAGCATCTAATGTAGAAGTCCACCGAAAGGTAGATGGACACTGAGACCCGTAGACATTTATCCTCGATTAAGAATAAAATGCGTTGTCACCCCTGAGGACTTAGATGGAACGCCTCGGTTTCATTAAAAAGGGTCTCTGGTTCTCTAATCTCATAAGACATACAAACGACCTTCAAGAAAAGGCCTTTCTCACAATCTCGTTGTATTTTTAATAGCATTTACCACAGGAAGTGCGACGGGAAATTTGAATCAATAACAGCACCAAAAACATTGCACGTTGCAACCAAATTTTTATTATTCCATCCAAACTGTGTGCTTGGTTTGGCCATGCTCGTCCACCATCGTGCTATTTTATATAATAAAAGATATAAGATGCAAGTCCATATGAAAAAAAAATATTCATGGGACCTTCGAGAAGCCTACTTCTTTCTCAAAATTAGGCCACTTTTCTGCTATCCCTCTGGTATTGCAGCTGTTCATGACTAGCGGTGATTACTATAATTTTGTCCTACGGAGATAGATATTCTCCGATGAGGCTCGCCGCGGTGACCGAAGTTCAGTCTTCAC